CCAACGCACAGTGATTCCAGAGTAAATTCATTACTGTCCCTCAATCATTCTGGTTTCGAGTTTCATGATTAAGCTAAGGCTGACACTGATAATTTATTCTTTATGAACGTTATAAAGGCGTGTCTACCAACCTTGATGCAACTATCTTGGTTTGCCTTGTGATGTTCTAGCAGTATTTGTTTTATTTATTTTCCCTCTTTTTACCCGATCTCTATATCTGCTTTTGCAGTTGCAGAATTGGCCGCCACCCTGGTTTTCATCACCAGAACTCTCAGAGACAAGACACCAACCCGTCTTGTGACAGTCCTCGGATTCCTCGCAGAACAATCGACAATTTTATTTTTACTGACGGACTCCTTACACGCCGACCTGTCAACGGCTACTGAGACAGATAGGGTCAAGAAAGCTGCCAACTGTATAGCTAACCTCTCAAGCGCTTTTCGCTTTTTGGTTGCCGGTCTACCTAACAAGTAAGATGCCTCACATTTCGACATTTTTTAACATTTTTCATTTCGACCACTACAAATATGTTTTATTCATATTATCCTGTGTCTTGTTTAGATCTCAAACCGCAATCTTGGAGTCCTTCAAACTCGTCGGACCGTCTGCTCAGGTTCGTGATTCATGCAGTCTCTTTACTGCGACCTCAGCATGACTTTTTTATATTCTTCCCACATTTTTGATGATTATTCTGCTTCGATATTTACGTCTACCGAGCAGCTTCTGTCATCTCAGCAGGCATTGAGCATTCGCTAGTGGTCATCCTTTATGAGATGAATGCCACGAATTTATTGTCATCGTTAATGCTTGCTGTGATTCCCATTCGGTCATCTGACTCACTAGTATTGTCACCGTAAATTTTACTCTTCATGCATCCGCTGCATCATTTGTCTCTTTGTCCTACTAGGTATTAGCGGGGGGGGGGAGAGATCATTGCGTCTGTCACTAGAATGCGGACCGAAAAACTACGACTTCAGTAGCTTGCGATGCACGAAGTTGCCGCGTCTCATGTTGAGTTTGAACTCGGAGAGGTTTAGTGAGCGTTCGCATCATTCCTCCTCTATAATATGCGTCCCGCCATTAGCGCCCAAGGTAATCTTTCGGTTTCTCCGTAGACTGCACCAAATGCGGCAAGGACTGCCAACGCTTCATGCACTGTTAGCGGATATTCCCGTTTCATATTTCACTGTCTGGTGGTTACGTCGGATGCCTTTGCGACTCTAATTCTGGGACACCGGGTGACGGTCCTCTAGCCATCTTTGACATAGGGGTGGGCACCTTAACCCACTCTGCATGCACCTGTCGACGAATTTATACCAGTAGCCATTCGTTCTGACCACCCGTTAAAGGTACTGTGGTTGTTCATTGAGCATGTGTTGTAGTCCTCTTTGATACCTCCCAATGCGCCCACAGAGTGTCCTTACGGAACTGCGTTTTTGGTTGAATGGCTCGTTAAAAAGAAACAGAACATGCGCTTACGAGTTTTTGTCATCGATATTTAATTTTGTCCTCCGCTCACTAGAAGAAGGCGCTTTTTGTCACTCAGCTACCCTATTCGTTTATTTTGTGGTCATAGGAATTGCCAGTTGATTGTCTGATACACCTCTACGCATTGCAACTCGAAACTTTTTTCAAGCAGTCTCGTTAAGGTTGCAATAAGGGCAGTTGCCAAGGCGCTTGGCAACCCCAGTCCATGTGGGGTGATGTCTTTGGGTCAGGGGAGGAGTGAGGCCTTGCCTACGCACATGACCTCATCCTCTGCGAACCGCCCGCATCCTCTCTGTGCATGTCTGTGCGGTCACGTTACCGCAATCAACGGATTTCTGGACCAGCTGCGTCCTCCAAGTTTCATGTGATCGACCTTTCCAGTCATTGGTTAGCGGTATCTGATGTTTAACTGTGGTAAATTTCACGGTAAATTTGCTCCCTGTGGGTGTACCATTGAGGTTGGTAGCTTAGTATTCGTGTCCTCGTGTCAGTTCTAAGTCATTCTCCTCTCTTCTTAAGTCCCGCTGAATCTTGTGACAGAAAGTCCTTACTCGCAAAATAATTTTCAAATAGAATTGGTGTACCTGAACATGAGGACCTGTCTCCTCTCGGTACCAACAGTTATCCTCCCACAGCTTTAGAGATTTCGTCGAATTGACGCTTAATAATATCGGTAAGGATAGGTTATAAGTATCGCCAAAGTAACCCTAAAATCCAGAGTAAAGTTTTTAGTTTATAAACTATCCTTACCATAATATCTGGACAAGCATTCTTTTTTGTGTCTTTAATTCCCACAGGGATTCCGTTTGTCTCAATTTTGTTTATTTTCCCTGTTCATTAGTATTGTGACTGCAAACCTGTTTTTCTGTGGTTATAGGCTCCGTCAAATGACCTGATGCGGCTCCTCCTGGCTGCAGTCATTTCTGCCCTCCGATCAGATGTAGGTTTGACCTTTTCGCCGTGCACTTTCTCTGTAGTGACCATATCCATCTCATTCCTTTATAATGTATTTTCGGGAAATGCATCAATTCAATGCCAGCTCCACCCCGTACTCCACAACACGGTCCTGCAGTCACGGTAACTTACGGGTGGATTAGTTTAAGGGATAGTAGACTTGCGTTGCATCTACCGCTCCGTCTCTGTTTCCTCACCTTGCTATCCCCTGTGTCAAGAAAACCGGAGGCGGGATCGGGCGCAGGTGATTGGCTCAACCGGAGCCGGCAGCACTGAATCAGATCCCACGGAGGGGGGGGGGTGCTATAAATGCCACGAGTGGCTAGTGTCGGAGCCTGCATCTACGCGTGCCACCAACGCCCCTCCACCCATTTGTTATGGGAACGCAACCCCGGGGGTAACGTCAGCAGTTGATCCAGCGCATCTACCACGCGGTCCGTTTACAAGTAAAATAGCCTTAAGAGTAGTTTGCTAACATAAGATGTAGAATTGCGCAGTTTTCACCGCGTGTTAATGCCTCTCCTCATAACTCATTTCAACGAACTAGCCCAGTTGCCGGGTGGCAACCGGATTTGAGCATAGTTCGTCGTATTCTTGTACCACGTTCATCACAGTACTCTGTTTGAACCCGTCTATTCAATTTTTCCTCAGGGGTGCCAGTGGGGATGGTTTATGTGTTCCTCTCTGGTAGGACTAGATAATATGAAAGTCTCCCTCCCTCCGTAATACAAGCGACATTACCCTAAGTTTCAGGACCGATATTTATTCCCGTGATATAACAGTAACACTGCATCAAACCTTAACTATATCTATATTTTCAACCCCGAGAACTACTCATTTGTGTCGGTTAACCATAAATCACGCTATACACCTACGAATTTTTCTCCATTCACAACGGTGTTGTATAGTAAAGATTCCCATTAAAGGCCGAACTGTTCTTTTTTGCTGCATTTAGGGGACGTACCACGCTGTTAGCGGACTTGAGCCTTAAATCTTGTCGCACAGCTATCCGCTTCATGACAATCTTCAACCGCACTTTATTTGACCCGTATGACTACACTGATAAGCATGGGCTTTAAGAACACCTGCTCACTTGCTGTTCACTCACCACTTGCCATTCGCCACCATGAATACTTTTATGGTGTATGAAATCGTGCACTTATTGCCATGCCTACTGTAGCGCTGCTTACTTCTAACCATGAGAATCGTTAAATTATTATTTATAAGCCTAGTCCTTTTGACTCAGTTTCATTGTCAACATTACTGGCTGTTCATCAAAGTATAAAGTAGTGGCGTGTTTTAGGAAACAATTATTTGAAGGAAAAAACGCGAGAATCACAGGGGCCTGTTTGTGACCTTCGGTGGCCTGGATGTTCCTTCCGTTTCTGGCATCAAGGTTTCCTGCATAATTTAAAAACCTAACGGGTCTTCACTCGTTTTTTCCCATGTTTTGTCTCCCATTATTCAGGTTACGCCTGTCTAGCGCGAGGACTGCACAAGGGAACAATTTTTTACTGTTACGGTTTCAAAACAAAGTCCTGTTTCTTGGGACTAGGATTACTAGCAAGTCGACTGCCCAGTGCCCCTGCGATTGTGTGCGAAAAATCCACAGTGCACTTCCGGATGGGCTGTGACTGCGTAGGTTGGGAGCCAGTATACAGTCCTGTTTTACCCGAGAGTGCTTTCCAGATTGTCCCATTGTCGGTAACGCGTGTCATCATCTCAGTTAGTGTGCCATTTGAGCGAATCGTTCTGAACATCCGAATTTCCATTTTTTGACATTTGTTCTACAGTTGGCGTCCTCCAAAGTCACCGTGTTTCCGGCAGTACTCAAGGCAGGACAAGTCTTGCAGGTAGATTTGGGCTAAATTACAAAGAAATTAGGGGTTAGGGTTAAGGTTAGAACTAATCTTTTGTTTAAGTTAATGAAAATGAAGGCTGGGGTTAGGATAGCGGTATAAGCGTCTCCTGGAATTTACCGCAAAGCCACTTGCCATAGTGGGTTATGGGAACCATTTCTCATGTTCAACCAAATTTAATGCTCCAGGTGAGCATTTAAGCGATTGAGTAGGACACGGATAAAGAATTTTCCTTCAATGTCTCCATGATTTGCCGGTTTCTTCTGTTTGTAGACGTACCCAATGGTGGTATGCTTGTAGTCTTGAGGAATGTGTGCTTGTCGTCACACCCCCTAGAATACTGAGATAAAGTGGGCTTCGACACTATTATCCGCCTCGTGGTTTGCATTTCTTCGAATTTGGAGTTATTCCCACTGTTCAAATTCAATTGGCGTATCAATTGGTCGTATCAACTAAGGCAATATTTAAGTTAAGTGCTATTAGCTTGCGCTTGCAGTCGAAGCTTCTTTTAGAGATGACAAGGCGGTGTTCCGTCCACCACTTGGGACCGCACATCACCTTAGTCACGATCATGTCATGTTGGTCACGCCCCGAACGAAAGAACAGTCCAGCAGATGCCAGTGAAGCGAATGCTGTTTAATGTATTTCGCCTTCCCACCGAATCAG